GAGTGTGGCACTGGAAGGACAGACATAGAGACCAGGGATGGGCTTTTCAACACAAGGTGCTGGGAAAACTGGATGTTCATATACACAAGAATGAGGTTGGATTGTTACCTCTCACCACAGACAAAATCTAACTCAAAACAGATCAAGATCTAAATGAAGGGGGCGCCTGGGTGGCTCAGTTGGTTAAGCGACTGCCTTCGGCTCAGGTCATGATCCTGGAGTCCCAGGATCGAGTCCCGCATCGGGCTCCCTGCTCAGCAGGGAGTCTGCTTCTCCCTCTGGCCCTACCCCTCTCAAGCTCTCTCTCTCTCTCATTCTCTCTCTCAAATAAATAAATAAAATCTTTAAAAAAAAAAAAGATCTAAATGAAAGAGGTAAAACTGTAAAACTCTGAGAAGAAAGGGGATGTCTTCATGATGTTGAATTTGGCAATAGTTTCTATGCTAGAATATCAAAAGCACAGGCAAAAGAAAAAATAAATTAGAATTCATCAAAGTTGAAGCGCTTTGTGCATCAGAGGACACCATCAAGAAAATGCAAAGGTAACCCACAAAGTGGGAGAAAACATTTGCAAAACACGTATCTGATAAGGGATTAATATCCAGAATATATAAAGAGGACCTGAAATTCAAGAGCCAAACCACCCACTCAATTTAAAAACGGGCAAAAGACTTGAACAGACTTCTTGCCAGAGAAGGCGGTGAGCACATGAAATGTTGCTCAGCATCGTTAGTCACGAGGATAATGCAAATCAAATGACAGGGCGACACCGCCTCAGGCCCATCAGGCTGTTACTAAAGCAATGGAAGATACCAAGCCTTGTCAAGGACGTGGAGAAATGGGAGCCCTCAGGCACTGCTGGTGGGAACGCCGTGTGGCAGGTCCTTAAAAGGTTCAACACAGAACGCTCATGGCAGCAAGCCGGAGACAAGCCAGGTGGCCGTCAACAGAAGGGGTAAAACGTGGCATACGTATGCCACGGACCGCTACCCAGCCACAGAACAGAATGAAGTCTGACAAGCTCCTACACAGATGGACCTCAAAGACGTGAGGCTGAGTGCAAGGAGGTCACAGAAGGACACACCGCGTGACTCCGCGTGCACGAGGTCCCCAGAGCGGTCAGATCCACAGGGAGAGCAGAGTGGGCGGCGCCAGGGGACGGCACGGGGGGCTGGGGTTTCAAGGGGACAGAGCTCCCGTTCGGGGACATGAGAACCTTCTAGACCCGGACGGTGGAGGCCGCACAGCAACGTGAGTGTGCTCCATGCCACGGAACCTCACACTTAAAATGATGAAGACGATACATTTTATATATGTTTTGCCACTTGAAAAAAAAAAAGATGGCAAAGGAGATGGAAGAACTTGGGCCTCTAATGGCAGAGGGACGGTCTGCAGCCTTCCGGACACCTGAGAAAGGAGCCACCCCTCGTGTCCACCCGCCATCTGGCGTCTGTCCCTGCAGTCGTGTGCACTCTGAAGTCACATGCAGGGAGACCGCCGCCCCCTCCCGCCTGGCTTCCAGTGCACCCACTACCAGTGCTCTGCAGGCCCTCGACCTCCCCAGCCCGGTGTCTCTGCGCGGGGCTTGCTCTGGGCGTCCAGAGGGTTTCAGCGGCAGCCCTGGCTGCTGCCCAACACGTCGGTGGCGCCGCCCCCCAGAGGGACCACCTAAATTGTCTCTGCTCTTTGCCAGACACCCTGCAAGTGCGTATCACCCCTGGTTGAGAACCAGTCCCCCCACTTTTTTTTTTTTAAGATTTTATTGGTTTGCCAGAGAGAGAGAGAACACGCACCCAAGCAGGGGGAGCCGCAGGCAGAGGGAGAAGCCGGCTCCCGGCTCAATCCCAGGACCCTGGGATCATGACCTGAGCCGAAAGCAGATGCTTAACCCACTGAGGCCCCCAGGCGTCCCAAGAACCACAGGCCTATGGAAGCTAAGCCCACTAATCTGCTCACTGCTCTCCATGCACCCTGCTGGTCCCCTCCTCCCAGCTCTGCTGCGACCCCACAGGTTTTCCCAGTTCCTGCCGGTCCTTCACCGCTCACACCAAATCCTCCATCGGTGGGGGGATGGGGGGGACCTCAATCACCACCCCAGGCCCCAGATGGCTTCCCTTGCTCCAGCCATCATAGCACTTGGCCTGTTGCCCTCTGTGTTTTGCTCTGGGAGGCTAAGTTCCTGGTTCCAGGGGGCAGGGATCCTTAATACGTGTAAGGGTCCAATCTACACATTTCAGTGAACACATTAGATTGTTTGTCCCTGGAGCTCAGCAGCAGTCAGGCTGTCTGGTCCTTTGTCCCTGCTTCCTGGTGGGGCAGCCACCAGCATCTTGGGAAGCTGCTTCTCCAGGCCCTGCTGAGGTGGGGAAGGGCCTGCAGGCCCACGGAGAGGGTGACCCAGAGGCCAGCAGTGTGCTTTATAGAACCCCTCCATGGACAATACCCCAGATCCCTCCCAAGGGCTCCCTGGAAGGGGCAGGTGGGCAGCCCAGACAATCTGCCCCTCACTGCTGCCTCCATAAGCACCTCTGGCCCACCTCCAGGACCCAGAAAAGATCTTAGATCTCAATACGCCAAGATGTGGGCAGGACTAAGAACACAGAGGCCAAACCACCAAGCGGGGGCTGTCAGGACTGGAGCCAGGTGTCCAGGCTGAGTGGGGACAAGGTCTGGAAAGCTGAAGCTAGATGCTTACTCTCTACTTGACAAGCATCATGTGGCTCCTCACGTTCTTACCAGCCCTGTGAGCTGGGTGGGTGTCTTCACGGGGGCCCCCGTCCATGGTGGTCCCTCTGGGCACCACCACCTCTGGGGCCGATGAGTTGGATGGTGAGCTGTAAGACCCAAAGGAGCCCCGAGAAGGGGTCTGAAGCAGGGTCCGCAGGTGGGGGAACCGCCCCTGTCCAGGGAGCAGATGAGTGTAGGAAGGGATGGGCCTCTGACTTCACCAGAAACCAACAGCCTTGGCAACCAGCCCCAGCCTGGGGCAGCCCCACAGTCTCCACCCTGAGTCACAGAGGGGACATGTAGGGCGCGTCCAGGCTGTTGTGTCAGGGGGCAGAGTCCAGCCTGGTCAGTACATCCTTTTCGTCTTTCTCCTTTTAACTGGAAATAGTCAAGAGCCTCAGGCACCAGGGATAGTCTCAGGGAAGAGCTTGATCCTTTTAGGAGTCCCGGCTGGGCAGCAAGGCACTTGGCCCACCCCTGCCTCCAGGCCTCGCTGGCCAGGGTGGACAGCAGGCCAGAGACGAGCTTCGTGGGGTCAAGGCAGTATTAGGGACACACAGAAGAGGGTGCCCAGCCCAGGCGGGGAGTCAGCAAGACTCGCTGGAGGAGGATGCACCCCAGCAAGGGCGCGTCCAAATTTAGCCAAGATCACCCATCCAGATACCGATCTCAGATAAATAATGAATAATTTTTTAGTGTATCACAAATACTGCATGGGACACTCTTCATCATTGCACCTCACAGATGAAGATGAGGCTCAGAGAAGGGATGGGACAGGGCTGAGCGGAGCTCGCTCACCTAGGGTTCCAGAGTGGCGTCCACTCTGTCCCTCAGCCGGGTAGCACTGGCCTGGCTTGCTTTTTGCGAGCCTCAGCTTCCCAATCTGTAGAATGGGATGGGTGTGTAGGCATTCAGGCCTCTGTGACTGGGGCGTGAGGGGCACCCTGCGCAGAGCCACCCCCGGGGGTGTGGAGGCTGCCTGACCTCATGGCGTGTCCCAACACAGGATCGCTGGCGTGGGTCACTTGACCCCGCTCACAGATGAGACCCCGGGAGGAAGCCGAGACAAGTGAGGGGCCTCCCTGGTAGCCAGGCTGGGCTAGCACACTGAAGAGCCGCCGGTGTGGCTGCTCCTGGCCTGGCCGCAGGGACTGCAGGTGGGCTGGCGGGCGAACAGACACCGAGCTGCTGTCCTGAGAGGGTGTCTGCCCAGCAGTGCCTGGCCCCCTCCCCAGAGGACGAGCACTGCTGGTTTCCAGGTACGCACGGCTGTGATCCACTCCAGAGACCGGTGAGGCAGGACATCCTGACGCTTCCTCCCGGTGGCGGGGCGGAGAGAGAAGGCAAGCATTTGGCAGGGGCACCTCCCTGCATGAATTCCACCTGACTGCCTGCCACTGCCCCCGGAGACCAAAGTGCCTGGAGCAGCGAGCGCCCCCGAGTCACCAATCCTCAGCAGATGCGGGGGTTAGCTAGTCGGAAATGCGCCTGAGCGCTTCCTGCTCTGGGTCCAGAGGTTTCTAGGGACACGGTGTTCTCCCACCCATTATCACCGCGGCTGCTGGCCTATCTGATCAGGGTGCTCCTCTGCTTGAAAACCACCTGCCCATTTCTTTATCTTCAGGCTCCTCGCCTGCCTCACAGAGCAGGTGGGACGGTCCACTGGGGACTGAAGCCCAGCAGCCTGGTGGCTCCAGGCCTGCTGAAACCCCAGTGGCCCACCCGGGCTCGCTAGCAGAGCCCCGCCTGAGCAACCCCGTCGCAAACCGCGGCGACCCAGAAACCCTCAAACACAACAGGAGCGGGAAATGTTGAGACCTCACCCACCCCAAGCACTATCACATCGGAACAGCAAGCGGAAGCACAGCCTCCTCGCAAAGCCCACAAGCAGGTGACGGTAACGCCAGGACTCCGCACCCTCGAGACCCCTGCCTTCTGACACCAGGACCTGCTGGCTCAGCGAGGAGCATCCAACAGTGAGTGCACGCATCCCACCACCACGCCCGCGCATACGGAACACCAAATAAGCCTACAGGGAGCGGGGCGGGAACACAGGAGCCGGTCCCCCTGGCTCGGGGGCGGAGACGCCTGGATTTGGACGTGGAGGTATGGGGCTCCTAGCTGGAAGGCTCACCGTCCCCGAGCTTCAGGGGAGGGAGGCCGGTCGGTCTGGCCGGCAGTGGGCTGGGCCAGAGACCCAGATGAGCCGCGGCCCCGCCTCACAGCCGACCTCTGCTGGCCGGGCGGCCGCCACACACACCAGGCAGAAAGCATCAGGGAAGCGGTTTAATTCCCAAGGTTCCCAGGGACGGGTATCCCTTCCTACTTGCAGGAAGCCCGAGCCACGACGGCTGGAGTCTATTAGGCGAGCAGGGCAGCACCGTGGGCCTGCTCCGGAATCCAGTCCAGCCAGGCTGGGAGGCTGGCGCCCGCACCCTGCTCAACGCTCAGCCTGGGAAGCGGCCCAGGGAGCCAGCGACGCTGTGCAGACGACCTCAGGAAGACACGGCTGTGGGTCCGCTTCTCTCTTTTCTGTGCCTGAAGCTGCGCAGGGGATTCTGGGTCTTGGCCTTCTGCAGGGCAAAGCTGCAGGTTAGCTGGGCGCACCAGACGTCTGTCTGCCCAGACTCAGGGAGGTGAGAGGTGTGGCCCCTTGGCAAGGCCCTGCAGGCCACGAGCCGAGGACAAAAGCTGCCGCTGCCACCATCTGTGGCCCACTAAACACGTTCTTCCTCCCACTGCCTGGAGCAGAGCCTGGGCAGTGAGGACAGAAGAGCAGACCATCCTGTGTTCCTGAAGCTGCCTGGGGGTGGCCCAGGGAGTGTCCAGCCCCCCCGACTTTGCCCCTCAACCCCAGAGTCTGGGGCCAGGCCTTAGGGCCTTTCCCCTCCCTCCCAAAGGCAAGGTGCATGCGCACCCCGATGACAACGGATGAGGGAGGAGGGGAGCCCCGCAGCACGGCCAAGGCCCTGGGGTACATACCTTGACCTTCTTGGAGGCCAGCTTCTTCCGCTTCTTGTGAGGGTGGACGAGGCCGCGCAGAGCAGGGGGAACTAGAAAAGGCACAGACTCAGCAGCTGCCACGACCCCTCGCAGCCCACCCCCTCCAGCTGCACCCAGCGAGCCGCCCCGATTCTGACCAGGGCCCGGCACACCAGCCCCACGTCCGACGTGCCCAGGGCTGCAAGAATGGCCACCACCGGGGCGAGAGCACAGAAACTCGGGCTAAGTCGCTCCCCTGCTGCCTTTAAGCCGGCTGCAGTAAGCACGTGGCAGAAAAGAAACCTACGCATGTTTCTAAGAAAAAAAAAAAAAACACTGCTAAAATACAAGAGTCTCAGGGCTTCTGGGTGGCTCAGTTGGTTAAGCAACTGCCTTCGGCTCAGGTCATGATCCTGGAGTCCCAGGATCGAGTCCCGCATCGGGCTCCCTGCTCGGCGGGGAGTCTGCTTCTCCCTCTGACCCTCCCCCCTCTCATGTGCTCTCTGTCTCTCTCATTCTCTCTGTCTCAAATAAATAAATAAAATCTTTAAAAAAATAAAAACAAAAATAAAATAAAATACGAGTCTCTGTGTAATTCCTCTGGACACGGCCTGGTTACTGGTTCATCCCACACGGTACGCCTCTCCCCCCACGGCCTTCCAACCCCCTCAGGACGCCCTGTCAGCGCGGTCACCTGCGGCCCCTGAGGCCCCCGGCCTCACGCTCCTGCCAGAGACTTCACTCCTACGGGACAGAGGAAGGGGTGCCCTGCTCCCCATGGGGCCAACAGACTCCACCTGCCCCGCCCAGCCTCAGCTGGTGACTGGCCCCATGTCCTCCTGCAGGGGCGACAGCACCTCCCGCCCGTGCCCCCTTCCCCACCCCCACGGCTGCCTGACCACTTGATACAGCAGGAGCACCCGGCCTCCGAGCCGACTCTGCCCGCACCTGCAGCGCAGGGCTCTCCGTACTGCCTGCTTCCCGTGTCCCCAGCAGAGGGGGATCCCCGTCTCCACGGACCCCGGCGGCGCACGCCCACACATCCAAGCAGACGTGTCCCCAGCAGAGGGGGTCCCCGTCTCCACGGACCCCGGGGGCGCACGCCCACACATCCAAGCAGACGTGTCCCCAGCAGAGGGGGTCCCCGTCTCCACGGACCCCGGGGGCGCACGCCCACACATCCAAGCAGACGTGTCCCCAGCAGAGGGGGTCCCCGTCTCCACGGACCCCGGGGGCGCACGCCCACACATCCAAGCAGACGTGTCCCCAGCAGAGGGGGTCCCCGTCTCCACGGACCCCGGGGGCGCACGCCCACACATCCAAGCAGATGTGTCCGTGCTTCGCGTGTCCCCAGCAGACGAGGTCCCTGTCTCTACGGACCCCGGGGGTGCACGCCCACACATTCAAGCAAATGTGTCCGTGCTTCGCATGTCCCCAGCAGAGGGGGTCCCCGTCTCCACGGACCCCGGGGGCGCACGCCCACACATCTAAGCAGACGTGTCCGTGTGTGCTGGTGTGCACGCAGACCGCCCAGGCTCCGAGGTCCCATCTGCTCACCCAGGTAGTCAGGGACGTGGCCCAGGTGAGGCTTCACCACGGCAGGGTGCAAGGGCAGGTCATGCCGCAGCAGCTGGAGGTCCCGGGGGTTGTCTTCAAAGTACGTCTGCGGGGGAGACGGGCACACGGCAGGGTCAGTCTGCCTCCCGTGGCTCTGCGGGGGCCCTTGGGCAGGGGCGCTGTGCCCTCCCAGCGGTGCCACCGCTCTGGGCTCCCCCCTCCCTCAGGTGCCGCGTCTGCGGGGACACTGCCCTTCCTGAGGCAGCCACGCCCCACACGCTCTCCTCACAGGGCCCCACGCGGAGCCCCCCACCACGGCAACGTGTGCTGAGAACAGACTCCGCAGCGCTAATTCTGCATCCCCCACGATGCTGAGCCTCACCCTGAGCCTCTCTGAGTGCAGAAGCTCCTCCTTGATCTCCTTCAGCCTCGCCTCTCGAATGGCCTGTTTGGTCACTGAGCGCATGGCATCCTGGGTATGGACACCAAAGCTCAGGATGGGGGGCGGGGCACTGCCCTGTCCTCCCTGTGCCTGAGTGCTCAGCGGCGGGGGTCTGACCCAGGGGGACTCCCCCACCCCCAACCACGAGATCCCACTCACCCGGCAGCGGTAGCGGAAGCCCTCGATCTCCTCCATGCGGAACTGATAGGGAAGCAGGACGGGGGCCCCATTCTCTGTGGAGAGCAGGGCAGTGAGGGTCCCCTGAAGGTTCAGGGCGGGTCTACCGGAGGCCATCAGCTCAGAGGCCCCCGCAGGCCCTCCCTGGGACGAAGCAGCCCAGCACTCAGCCCACGCCTTCCCTGCGAGGAGCACGCATGGTGAAACAGCCGGGTCTCGTGCGCAGCCCGGGACAGCTGCTCCAACACGCTGCGGCTGGGCAGCCCGTCGTCCCCTGGGTGCCCGTCACAGCAGCCTCAGAACCCGCCCACCTACCCACTCTCCTCCCCCACGGCCACTCTGGACACTCGACATCCGTGACAAACCGGCGTCTCAGCGCAGCAGCAGCGCTCGCGCCCCCGCCAAGCAGCGTCCCGGCCCCTCTTCTGCACGATCCCACAGGGTCCTTCCCGGACCCCCAACACAAGCAGGACTGAGGCCCCTTTGGGGAGCCTCCTGGCTGGTGGGCAGCCCCACCCACGCCTCCTCTGCCAGCCGCTGCCCACAGCTCTAGAACAGCGCCAACTGCCTCAGCATCACCTCTGGAAGGCCCAGCGGGCGCCCGGACCTGGGCCTGGCAACTGGGGAGTCAGGGAAGGACCCCCCCGCCCCCCACTGGGCTCCCTCTCCCAGGGTCCCTGGGAGACACCACCAGCCCCATCCCCATCTCCCAAAACCTCTTCCCCTTCCTTAGCCCTTCTGCCTCTCGAGTCCGGACCTCGGCTTGCTCATCTGTGGGGGACCCTGCCTGCCCCCATGAGGCAGGGATGAGGATGGAGCAAGAAGAAGGCACAGGGCGGGGCTGAGCGGGAGGTGCTATCTCACCGCCACTGGGCCTAAGGCACTGTGGGAGGAGAGCGCGAGGGTTCTTACCTCCGCTGAGCAGCTCCTCGATCGTGCCCAGGTGGGACTGCTCAGTGGGCAGCACGAAGGTCAAAACCATGCCCGGGTTGTTGGCGCGCGCCGTCCTGCAGGAACAGACGGCCCAGTCTGAATCTCTGGCCCAGGGCCCGAGGTCCTGGTACCTGCCCACCACGCCCCAGCTCCCCTACCTGCCAGCTCGATGGATGTAGGCCTCAGGGGTGGGGGGCAGGTCAAAGTTGAGCACAGCAGACACGTGGTGGAAGTCTATGCCCCGGGCCACGCCTGCCTCCGGATCAGAAGCCCTGTGGGTAGACGTCCCAACATCAGACTGACCACCCCTCCTCCAGGCCAGCGATCTCAAGCCGTTTAATCAGCAAAATCACTTACTAAAGCCTTCCACAAGATCAGAGAAGTCTAATAGGTTGAACACCCTAAAATCAGAACTATCTCAGAAGCTGAGGTAGCAAGGGTGGCCGAACCCTCGCCCTGACCTCAGTGCCAGGGGAAGGACGGAACTCACCGCACCAAAGGACAACCTGAGAACCACCCCTAGCCAGACAGCCTGTTGGGCAGGCAGAGACTGGGGCTCCCGATTGCTTCGGAAACCTCCTCCTCACGGGTCACAGCTGCGTGTCCAGCACAGGATGCACATCTCCCCTTGTAGGACGACCCCCAACAACCCACTACGTTTGGCCCTTCCTGCTGCCTCAGGGTATGTGCACGCGCGCCCTTTGCTCTTCTCCAGACTTTGGCAGCCAAACGAGGCCCCACCAGCAGCCAGGCCCCAATGCTGGACCCCTTGCTCTGGGCATCTGGTTTCACCACCTTCCAAAAGACTGAGAAACAGTCTCCCTGCAGTGCACTGGGGAAGGGAGACACCAGCACTCACCTGTCCCCCTTGGATCCTCGGCCCCGACGCTTGCCCTTGACAGGGGCCCCCAGGACTTCGGCGTCGGTCGCTATGACACAGTCGTAAAAGCCCTGGTTGAACTGTGAAATGATGTGGCACCTACAGCCCAAGAAAGAGAAAGGCTCAGCCCCCAGAGCCAGTGGGAGGCTCCCCCCCACCGACATCATTACAACCGTCACTCTGACTCTTCCCTCTTCTCTAGCTCCGCTTCTGCATAACCTTCGTGCCTCAGCTCCTCGGCTGAAGACGAAGCAACGGCAGAAATCTCAGAGCCACGACACAGAAAGTCAGTGAGAATCGGTTGAGCCCACAGCCTGGCCTCCACCGCCCACTGAAGACACAGGAGCACCCCCTGCGTCTCCCCTTCCCATGTCTCAGCCGAGGGGTCAGGCCAGGTGCACCTGGAGCACAGCGGGAGCTCTCCATTGAGCACGCAGGTGGGGATGCTGAACTGCTCCAGGAACAGGCGCAGCCGGTAACTCCTCTCCAGAGTGTTGACAAAGAGCAGGGACTTGCCGCGGATCAATGACAGCTTGAGCAGGGCATAGAGCAGCAAGAACTTATCCTCCTGTGTCTGACAGACTACCTGGAACTGCCGCAGCTGGTCTGGCCCCGGCAGCTGGGACTCCTGCAGCTTGAGAGTCACCTGCAGGGAAAGAGCCCTGTGATCAGGAAAGAGGAGGAGACAGAAAAGGCTGCACGCTGCTGGCTCAAACCAGGGCACCCCGCGTCCCCTCCCACTGGGTGACGTGACAACTCAAAGTGCCCCAGCCGTTACGCTGCGCAGAGAACGTACGGTTACAACGTGCTGGGGGCACAGAACAGAGAAACACAGGGTAAGTGAGGAGGGAAGCCCTGCAGCAGCAAGCTATCAGGAGAGCCAAGTTCACGAACACAAGAGCTTTGGCCGTGCCACTCAAAGCAGCCTTTCTGACTCTCGGGGGTCCCTGCTTCGGCCTTTAGGTGAAGCATGTTTAAACCACGCCCAGCAGACATCTGCAATGATGTAACGACTGCAGACTGGTGGATGGGGGGGGGGTCTTGATGACCACCAGCTTCTAGTGCCTCAGAACCAGGGGGGTGGGCGCCTGGGTGGCTCAGTTGGTTAAGCGACTGCCTTCGGCTCAGGTCGTGATCCTGGAGTCCCGGGATCGAGTCCCGCATCGGGCTCCCTGCTCGGCGGGGAGTCTGCTTCTCCCTCTGACCCTCCCCCCTCTCATGTGCTCTCTCTCTCTCATTCTCTCTGTCTCAAATAAATAAATAAAATCTTTAAAAAAAAATAAAATAGGGCGCCTGGGTGGCTCAGTTGGTTAAGCGACTGCCTTCGGCTCAGGTCGTGATCCTGGAGTCCCGGGATCGAGTCCCGCATCGGGCTCCCTGCTCGGCGGGGAGTCTGCTTCTCCCTCTGACCCTCCTCCCTCTCCTGCTCTCTGTCTCTCATTCTCTCTCTCTCAAATAAATAAATAAAATCTTAAAAAAAAAAAAAAGAACCAGGGGGGCTACACGTCAGGGGCCCCGATGCTTCCGTAGCGCCCTTACTGGATTATGGAGTACCAGCTCCTTGAGTGCTTGGACGTCCTCGTTAAAGGTAGCCGACATCAGAAAAGCCTGATAAATCCGGGGCAGGTGACTAGAACAAAACAGAGCCGGTCAGCCTCCAGCTCCAGGCCCTAGTGTCTAGTCCCAGCTGCACACTCCCCTTCCTTACCAGAGCAGAGTTTTGAGTTCTTCCTCGAAACCAAAGGAGAAAAGAAGGTCAGCCTCATCCAGCACCAGCAGCTCCAGGGAGTCTCGCAGGACCAAACTGTTCTGCTGCAAGTGGTTCAAGATGCGCGATGGGGTCCCCACGACTATGTCGGGCTTCTCCATCAGCACAGCTCTGCAGGTGGGCAACACCTCCGTGTCAGAGAGTATGCAGCAACTCACACTGCACCCCGAGCGGCCCCGTTTGCTGCACACAAACCCAGCAAATCCAATCCTGCATCCCCGTGCAGGTTCACCCCTCTACGGCCCCGCGGCTCTCACCCACCGCTCAGAGGTTGAGTCTTCGGTAGCGGAGACGTTAGCCACCCGGATGTCCCGAGCGCAGTAGGCAGCCAGCTGCTGGATCATGGACCGGGCCTGCCGAGCCAGCTCCTTGGTGGGCACCAGGACGAGCCCCCTCACAGCCTGCTCCACTGCAGGGCCTGTCTGCAAGAGCACAAATGACAGACCTCAGCCAGCCAGCCCGCGTCCTCAGGGCCACCTAAGGCCCCCGACAATCTGACCGAACGGTGGGGCCTTCCACCAACCCCTCGCTGACTGCCACCCTCCCCAGAACAGAACAGAGGGCAGGACAGAGGGCTCTTTGCCCGGGCACTGACCCTCAAAAGACACAACTCCGCGGTCAGCACGTTACTGAAAATCCAACACCTAGAGCGCTGGACGTTCACGTTAATTCTACAAGCAAAACCGGGAGACCCGCCCGCTTTTTCCGGCAGGAGGAAGAAAAAGGGACGCGCTCGAGAAGGCGCCAAGAAGGATGACAGCAGCGCCGCGCCGGAGCCAGGCGACCCGAGCCCCGGCCCGGCGCGCTGCGCACAGCGGCATCCCGGGCCGGCCTTCGGGCGCGAGGCCGGCGGGAGCCCCGGCGTCCCCACCCCGCCGCCGCGACCCACCGCCTTCCTGTGGAGCAGCAGCTGCAGCACGGGAAGGGCATAGGCGGCCGTCTTCCCCGAGCCCGTGCGGGCCCGCGCCAGCAGGTCCTTCCCCTCCAGCGCCAGCGGGATGGCCTTCTCCTGGATCAGCGTGGGTCGCGACCAGCCCAGGTCGGCGACGGCCTAGGAGACACGACGCGCGGCTCAGCGCGCCGCCCCGCCCCGCCGCCACCCCCGGCCGCGCAGCACCCCCGGTACCTGCAGGAGCCGGGGGTCCAGACCCATGTGCTCGAAGCCCAGCGCCTCCGGGCCCGCCATGCCGCGGCTCTCCGGGGACGGCGCGCACGCACGGCAGGAAGCGCGGCGGCGCGTGGGCCGCCACCACCAATCAGCTTCGCGGGCGCCGCCCCTCCCGGAAGTGCTGGGGCCTAGGCTTCCGGCGTCCGGGCGGGGCTCCGCGGCTCCGCGGCTCCGCGGCTGCGCGGGGCGCGGGGCCCGGGGCCCGGGGTCTGCGGGAGGTCCCTCGCTGGCCGCCGCCGCCGCTCGTGCCCAGGGGCGGCTCCGGCTCTCCCTTCAGTCCGCGCGTCCTTGAGCAGCCTCGGCCTAGGAGCTGCGCCGGCACCCGCCGTGCCCTCCGAAGCTGGGTGCCCGGCGGGGGCGGCCCTGGGGGAGCCGGCACGGGGTCCAGGGGCACGGGCGGGGCTGTGGGTGCCCATCAGTTACCCGCACAGCTTAGCGAACAGTGAGGACTCCCGGTTCCCTGTCGCTGCCACAGCCAGTCCCCGTCAGCCCAGGGGCATAAAACAGCACGCACGCATGCCGTGGTTGGGCGGTTGCCTCGCAGGGTCTCGCTGGGCTGCAACCAGAACGTGGGCAAGCTGCACTCCCTTCTGGAGACTAGACGGGTGACTCCGTCCTTGCCTTGCCCTTTGCCCGATGGCCCACTTCCTTCCTCCCCCGAGCCAGCGACGGAGGCTGGAGCCCTCACGTCTCACCATGGCGACCTTCTGCCTCCACTTTTGATGAACCTTGAGATGACCCTGTTCTCACCCACATAATCCGAGATGATCTTTCCATTTTTTTTAAAGATTTTATTTATTTATTTGCGAGAGAGAATGAGATAGAGAGCACGAGATGGGGGAGGGTCAGAGGGAGAAGCAGACTCCCCGCCGAGCAGGGAGCCCGATGCGGGACTCGATCCCGGGACTCCAGGATCATGACCTGAGCTGAAGGCAGTCGCTTAACCGACTGAGCCACCCAGGCGCCCCTATGATCTTTCCATTTTAAAGTCAATCGATAGCAACCTTCATTCCCTTTTGCTTGCAAACCAGGCCTCACCACGACCCCCCCCCCCACCCCGCCGTCCCTCCGGTTTTTGTGGTAACGATGTCATACAGTCTAAGAAAGCAAGAATTTCAGAATAGAAGCAGGGTAGTATTGGGAGGAATATCAAAATTCCCTGAATGTAGCCAAACTTTCTAAAAACAACTTCCCTAGACCATGACGTATCTGTGATTGTCACACGGCAGCACGGAAATCCTCCCTGCAGCCGCCACCCGCTGGCCCATCCTCTGGCCAATGATATTCTACCTGCCCCATCAGTGGGACAAACGCCCCTTCCCATCAAACCTTGACAAGAGGAGAAACCCAGAACTTACCCACCTACTGGCAGAATCAAGATGCACTCAATTCTGTCTACAGCGGGACAGACCAAAGAAGGCTGCCCTGGCTCTCGGCGGTGGTTGCGTGCCCTCCCACAGCCAAGAACAGCCACAGTAACAGAGACAGGTTCCCTTCCAGACCTGTCCCATAGTCCCCGGGAACCTCAAGCCAGAGGCCCACACGGCTAACCAGTTCCAGGACCACCTCATTTTCCCTGGGTTCATTCTAACCTAAGAAAACTGAAAACCGGGGTGCCTGGGTGGCTCAGATGGTTGAGCGTCTGCCTTCGGCTCGGGTCATGATCCCGGGGTCCTGGGATCGAGCCCCGCATCCGGCTCCCTGCTTGGCAGGGAGCCTGCTTCTCCCTCTCCCTTTACTGTTCCCCCTGCTTGTACTCTCTCGCTCTATCAAATAAATAAATAAAATCTTCAAAAAAAAAAAAAAGGAAACTGAAAACCATCCTAAATACTCAAACTTCAGAGAATAGTCACTTATGGTTATTTCACCTTGTTGTACAGTTATACAACCACACAGAATTAGAAATATGAGAAACACTTAATTTAAAAAAATACTTTAAAAATACTAAATGTCAAAGCCTAGAAAACAAACTTTCATGTGTTTTTATGAGTAAAAATAGGTACATATATGAACTATATAGGATGTAAAGAAAAAGATTTCACCCTGTCAGTCAAATAAGTAGTGTATATTAAATAAATATGTATAATAAATAAAAGCATGAAATAAAAAGCCAAGAGCAGGCAATTTTTTTTGTTTCTAGTCTTTTGAGAGAGAGAGCACACAAGCCAGCTTGGGGAAGGGGGGCATAAGCAGGCTTCCCGCTGAGCAGGGAGCCCGATGCGGGCTCCATCCCAGGACCCTGGGATCATGACCTGAGCCAAAGGCAGACGCTTCACCGACTGAGCCCCCCAGGCAAAAGCAGGCAAGTTTAATACACAAGGGCAGAAGGGCAATGTACTAAGATGCTTCAGTGTAACTCTAGGGGCTGAGAAACAGGTACTTCATCTCCTCACGGGATTCCCGGCCGGTGGGCCTACGTGTCTGACCTCTGTGAGTGGCCATGCCACCGCACCCACGAACGCCCATCAGGCCAAACCCTGGCAGCAGGAGCCCCCCTGCTGACGCCCTCCCACTGCCAGTCAGCATGGCAGCCAGCAAGGCCAGGGGCCTTTCTTCCACTGCCCTCTGTGCCTCCCCTCCGCCCACAACCTCTTAGTTCATTTTCAACACAGCTACTACAACACATTTTATTTCACTGGAAAAATCTGTATGAAGAACCAAATGTGGTTCCTGTGAAGAAAACATTTAGCACAGCTTAAATAAAAGTGAAGAAAAGAGGGAGGGGAGGAGGGCCCTGCTTGTGCTCGCTCCGCCACTACCTCAGCCTGGGGCCCGCGGGGCTGGAAATCCCAGGTGTCCTGGGGAAGTCCCTGCTGGGCCCTCTCAGAAGGCCTGGAGAGCACCCCTGGTGTCTGAGAGCTGCTGGGGCCCTTAGCGAAAATGTACGATACACAGACTGCAGACGAGGCCGCACTGGTCTTTTCAGCTACTCAGACACAGGCAGGAACACTTCAACTAGAAAGTAAAATATATATAATTTATCAAAAAATAGTTCTAATATATAGAAAAACATTTCAATCCTCTGAAGCCTCTGCCCCTTATTTACATTCACAAAGCCACTGACCAAACCCAGGACTAACGAGGGAACGGTGAGGCAGGGACTCCCTGGTGGGCATTTCAGCCGCCTACTGCCTAAATAGACAGAACGAGAAAAGTTAAAGGAATAGCAGAGGTTTTTTTCACTTGCTCTTTTTGTGATAGGATAGAGGGGAATCACTGGAGGTGAAAGAAGCAAGACTTCGTCCCGGGTCAGTTTCGACTCTGCACAAACCCCAAAACAGACCTTTGAAAACTCAGACCAATGTCCTGGGTCCTTGAGAACCAGTGTGAGCGAGTGGCTGATTTGAGTGCTTTGTTGCCATGGAACCAATGTGGCTTGTATTCTTTTTTCATTTTTTTCCCTCAAAATCCAGATGGATAAGGTAGTAGGTGGGGAAAGTACCAGATAATTGAGGTGATGGGGAGGGATCATATGGAGCGGATACTACACCAGCTTCTTGGCCTCAAAGAAGCTTTTGAGGTGACGCATCTGCCAGATACCAGTGAGGATAAGGATGACCGTCTGAGCAATTGACCACCACAGGACCCTCTGGTTGGTGCTCTCGCTGGTAAGACGGAAGCGCTCCTCGCGATACTGCGTGGGACAACAGGCCAGAATTAAACGTGCAGGACAAACGGTCCCAGCTGTTGTGAGGCCCCCCCCTCCTGCGAGAAATCCACCTTCAGGACCAAATGCCTTCTGAGACACTGCCTCGGATTCCACCGGGAGTGCCCCAGGAGAGCGTGTGCTGCCACAAGCATCTCTGCTGGGTCGGGAGCTGTGCTCACTTCACTTCCGGCCGTGTAGACGGACACTCTCCACCCTGTTCTCTGAACAGCTGAGCTCCCAATCGGGAAAGGCCCCAAACAGAAACTTCCAGTGGGCGTAGCAGGCACAAAGGTCAATTGCCACATCCGAGAACAGTCAGACGCATGCTTACCCTCTGGTAATCCTGCTCCTTCTGGATCTGTTCCACCTGATCAAGCAGCTGGCGGGCTCGGAGCTGGAGCTCGGTCAGTTTGTCCTTGGCAGCAATCTCGGGGTAGTTGTTGGCATGCTCCCCAACCTGGATGTCCAGGTGCACGCGCTAGAAAGACACAGGGGTGGTGCCCCAAAGCCCTAAGGTCAGAAACCCTCCGACGCTCTGTTCCAGGCTGGGGAACCTAGTCCCGTCCCTGGCTGTGGGACAGAAATGCAACACCGTCTCTCTGATTGTGGCTGTGTCCCAAAGTGTCCCAAAGGACGGTGGCCATTAACTCAAAACTCAGCGGAATCAGGGGGGAGATTCTGAGCCGTGGCCGAGGACGCAATCCTCTTACCAGTCTGCCGCCAGCAAAGAGAGCCATCCTGGTGGAGTTGGAGTGCAGGCAGATCTGATGGTCACCGGGCGTGTGGGAGGTGAAGGTGAAGCGGCCGTCGGAGCCGTACTGCCGGGACAGCACCACCTGCAACGGGACACACCGTGACAACCCCCGCCTGCACGCAGCCCTGTCCTCCGAGCCCTGCACGGCCCAGAGAGCTCCGGGGAAGCGTGGCCTTGTGGAGGCTGCAGACCGCCCGTGCCATAGCCCGAGCACGACCAGCGGGGCCCTACCTTGCCTTCCGGGTCCTTCACCTCCACGTGCATGCCCAGGCCGGGGGTCGAAGGCAGGAAGACCTCCTTGTGCTTGTCCCACATCTGGGTGCGGTAGTTCCCTGCGGAGCAGACAGTGCCGTCACGACCCGCCTGCTCCGGCCGGCTCCCACACTCCGCGGGGCGCCGTGGCCGCGTCTGGGGGACACACAGGGCCCCGTCCTCCCTCGCCCCGCCTGACCGATGACCATGGTCTCGTCGGGGATCTCCTCGATGAAGCACCGCTTCTCGGTCTCGCCGATGTGGAAGTAGAGTCCCCGGGCGCCGGCTGCGCACAGCGCAAGCAGCAGCAGCGCCGGTCGTCCCATCGCCCGCCGCCACCCGCCCCGACACCTGGCAACGCGCGCCCTCGGCCCGTCGCGCATGCGCGCGCATGCGCCCCAGTCCAGGCGACGCAGCAGAGCCGAGCGAAGAGCGCGCATGCGCTGTGACTTCCGCCCTGCGTCCTTCTCAATCCGCCGGTCTTCCGGGCCAAGCAGCCTGGTCGAGAGGAGAGTGCGCATGCGGGGGACGTCCGGATCTCCTTCCAGCCAGCCGGGGGACGATACTTACCCCGACACCTACCTACGCGCGTCCTCCGCCCTGCGCGCATGCGCAAGCCTGCGCCCCGCGGCCAGGAGAGGCTGCGCGGCCGGGCTCGCAGTGCGCATGTGTCGATTCGTTCGCGACCCGCTTCTCCGCGGGCGGGACTTGGCGGGGGTTTGGCACTGGAGACGGGGCGTGGGGACGAAGGGTCCCAGGCGGGGGAAGGAGCGTGAGGACGAGGGGTCCCAGGCGGGGGACTGGGAGTGGGGTCCCGCGCGGGGGAAGGAGCGTGGGGGCGGGGGTGTACTAGGCGGGGGAAGGGGCGCGGGGACGAGGCGTCTCCCACGGGGGAAGGGACATGGGGGCGTGGGGTCCAACGCGGGGGACAGGGCGGAGAGGAGGGGTCCCGTGTTAGGGGAAGGGACGTGGGGTCCCGCGTAGGGGAAGGGGCGTGGGGACGTGAGGTCCCGCGAGGGGGAAGGAGCGTGGGGGCAGGGGGTCCCAGGCGGGGGACGCGGCGTGGGGCGCGGGGTCCAGCACTGGGGAAGGAGCCTCGAAAGCAGGGGTCCCGCGCGGAAAGCGGGGCGGGGGCGGCCCGAGCTGGTGGCGTGGACTCGGGAGTGGTGACCGCCAGGCGTGACTTGTGACCCTGCGGTTGTGCTGGGGTTTCCTGACCCTTGCGTGGGAGGCACTCACTGGGGGCGGGGGGCGCCAGCGTTAGCGACCCTGCTGATCATAAAGGAGATGCGGAGGGCGTGGCACGAGGGCTACTGAGAAAGGGTTTCTTCCTCAAGTTTACTAGACTCTGCAGGATGAGGCGTGGCGACGCGTCAGCCTCCTTCTGTCCCCGAAGGCCCCGCGGTTTTCTGCCAACCTGTCAGACTGGACTGCTCTTTGTGCCCTGGGTGAAGGCTGAGGACCTGGGGGTCCCTGAGAGGTGCACGGGGGGCTCAGCGCGCCTCTGCTGAGAGCTGTCCTTGCAGAGAAACCCTGTAGCAGCGCTCTGGGTGCTCTGGGCCTGCTTGGTGTGTATCCTGCTGTTTATCCTGTAAGTGCTGGTTCTGAGCCAACACAAAAATCCTGGGGATCAAAGAAAGTCGTTTGAAAGGCAAGCTTCCTCAGCAGTAGTTCTGTGTGAGGACCCGGTGCCTCTGTTTAAAGCTCTCTTCTTCAGAAGCTGGAAATTGGGTTTTGGCCTGAAACTCCCTGATTTTTAAATATGGGCATTTAACTCACTTATGTCTAATGGAATGACAATAAGCAATCTGGCCACCTTCTGCAGTCTGACCTCAGTTCCAATCTGGAGGACAGGCTTGGGTTAACTGACCACCTGTGTGCTGTTCCAGCCCCCCCCCCCCCCGAATTGCGTCGAACATGTGGTGCAAAATGAGACTGAAAATCTGGGCTAAGAAAATGGAGGGAGAGTATGAGAAGAATGAGTAGGGTGACCGGGCATGTTGGCCTCTCCTAGTTACAGCACCCCCTTCTCTGGGACAGAGGAAGATGAACACCAAGCCAGAACATTGTTATTGGGCATAGAGTCACAGCTGAGCATGGTTGAAAACTTTGTTTTAAATTTTTTATAAAGAGAATTTCCAAACACACATAAAGAGGGAATAGTTACAATGAACTTTGATATACTCATCACCTGCCTTCAACAAAAATCAGTTTTTTGCCTGTCTCATTTCATTTCTTTTGGCGTGTTTTCCCTGAAGTATATCAGTGTATTTTTTCGGACATACATCATTTCACCTATAAATACTTGAGTGTATATCTCTAACAGACAAGAACTTTTAAAAATACCATTATCACATCCAAAAAAATTAAACAACTCTTTAATGTCATCTAATACTTAGTATATGTTCAGTGCCCCCCCCCCACCATTGCCTCAAAAAAACACTTTAGATTGCTTAATCAGGGTCCAAACAAGGTAATGTCACTGCATTCAGGGACACAGCTCCTAAATCTCTTTGTTGTTGATGATGATGTGCCATTTCTTACTGAAGCACCTGGATCACTGGACCAGTAGAATCCTCCACGTTCTGGACTGGGTGGGTTGTATCTTAACATGTCATTTCACATGTGTATTTGTCACTGCTGTATCCTGTAAACCATTAGATCCTCAACCAGGGAGGATTTGCAGTAAAACTAATTGTGACTGCGTACATTACAATCATTACCCCTTTTAATGTTCAGATTGTCTCAGAAGATGTCCCAAGTTCTCTGCCCTTTTAACACAACTCAGTCTTTAGTGGCTTCCTTGCTTTCCATTTTGTACACTTGCCTGCCCTACACACAAAATCTGCCGTTTAGGGGTGCCTAGGCGCTTCAGTCGGTTGGGCGTCTGCCTTTGGCTCAGGTCATGATCCCAGAGGCCTGGGATCGGGCCTCCCATCGGACTCCTTGCTCAGTGGGGAGTCTGCTTCTCCCTCTGCCCTTCCCCCTGCTCGTGCTCCCTCTCTCTCTGAGCTCTCTCTAATAAAATTTTTAAAAAATTTGCTGTTTATCCAAGGAATCTTGATTCCCTTTAGTGACAAATGGTATTTATATTTCTAATGTTGTAATTTTTTTTTCAAGACCCTAAAATTTGTCCTGATGGGTAATCTTAAAGAGATTGCATTACCCACAGTAGAAAACCTACGTTAGGTAATCTAAATCCCCAGGCCCCAAAACTTTTCCCCTCAAAGGTGGTGGGCAATTACTGCCAACATTTACCTAAGCCAGCTGTACCTTCATTCAACCAGCATCTATGAGCAGCCACTGTGCCAGTGTTCTAAACCCCGGGGACACAATGGTGAACAAAACAAAAATCCTTGTCCTCGTGGATTTATTTTGATTATCACCCTTCAATACATACTCTATAGCATGTCAGAGGCAGACAGGTGTCAAGGAGAAAAATGAAGCAAGGAAGAGGTTAGGGAATGTATTGGGTTGAATGGTGTCCCCGCCAAAGAGGTATCATCAATATTGAAATCCCTGGAACCTGTGAATGTGACCTGCTTTGGAGTCTTTCCAAATGTCATTAAGGATCTGATGTGATAATCCTGGGCCCTAAATCTAGTGATCAGTGTCTTCATAAGAGACATGGAGACACCCACACACCCACAGAATGGCTGCTATAAAAACCAAATAGAAAGTAAGGATTGGTGAGGATGTGGAGAAATCAGAACCTTGTGAACTGTGGGTGGCATCATAAATGGTGCAACCACTATGGAAAATAACATGGAGGTACCTCAAGAAATTAAAACTAGAACTACCATGCGACCCAACAACCCTACTGCCGAATGTATCTCTAAAAGTACTGGAGACACGACCTTGAAAAGACACTTGCATACCCACGCTCACAGGAGCACCATTCACAGTGGCCAAGAGTAGAAGCAGCCCAAATGTCCATCGATGGATGAACAGACAAGAGATCGTAAGTGGTACATACACACCATGGAATATCATTCAGCCTTAAAAAGGAAGGAAATCCTGCAGTGTGCCACAGCATGCATGAGCCCTGAGGACGGTATGCTAAGCGAAATAAGCCTGTCACAAAAGACAAATACTGCACGATTCCACTTGTAAGAGGGAATCTGAAGTAGTCAAACTAGTAGAGACAGAGAGTAGATGGTGCTGGGGGAGGGGAGGATGGGGAGTTGACTAATGGATACAGTTTCAGACTTGTAAGATGAAACAAGTTCTGGAAATCTGTTCCACAAGGTAACTGTCACTGAACTGTACACTTAGTAAAGAGAGAGAGGCGCAGATAAAAGGACTCAGCCATGTGATCACAGAGGTAGACATTGGAAGGGATGCAGTCACAAGCCAAGGAATGCCTGGAGCCACCAGAAACTGGGAGACAAGCAAGAAAACCTCTCCTAGAGTCTCTGGAGGGAGCACAACTCAGCTGCCATCTTGATTTTGGACTTCTGCTCTCTAGAATTGTAAGACGATACATTTCTGTTGCTTTAATCCACCATATGTGTAGTAATTTGTTATGGAGACCAATATAGGGAGTGTCTGATTAGAGGCGCAGTGGGGTACGGTGGACTGGCCAAAGAAGGCTCACCGAGAGGGTGCTGTGTGAGAGAGGTCCTGGGGGGCAGGTCACGTGCCTCCCTGAAGAAAGAGCAAGAGCCCCAAGGCTGGCGTGAGTTGAACATCAAGGAGGCCAGTGTAGCAGGAGGCACAAGCATGGGAGGGAAGTAGGAGGAGATGAGGTCCTAACTGGGGATGGGAGAATTGGGTGGGCCTGTTAGGCCACTTTAAGGACCTTGGCAAACGAGTGAGAACCCCTTAGGGGATTCTGAGTGAGGAATGACTTGATCTAACTCAGATTTTACAATTCTGATCCTGTCCAGGCAGCAGATGATCACTGTACAATAATAGGGTCATCAATGGATCAAAGGATCAAATCACTGATGTAAGTAATGTTCAATCTACATCAGGTCTTTTGGGGGCACCTGGGTGGCTCAGTTGGTTAAGCGTCTGCCTTCGGCTCAGGTCATGATCCCGGGGTCCTGGGATCAAGCCCCACATTGGGCTCCTTACTCAGCAGGGAGCCTGCTTCTCCCTCTCCCTCTTTCTGCTGTTCCCCCTGCTTGTGCTCTCTCTCTGTCAAATAAATAAATAAAATAGCTAAATAAATAAATAAGTAAATAAATAAATCAGGTCTCTTGTTCCATCTTGCAGTTCACAGGAAATTCGGAAGTTCTAGGACATGGTGAGGAAACAAGAAGGCAAATCCAGAATATGGAACAACTGACTTCTTCCAAACACTGAAGTCAAGATGAGAAACAAAAGTGGGGGAAATGTACTTAAAAACTGAGCTGAGAAGAAAGGACTAGAGGTGCACAATACCACAGAAGGTGTGTGACTGCCCCTGGGCCTCAGTGTGCTAGAATTGATGTGGGAAACAAAGGCAGAAGAAAAATTATTAAATTTCCTTATTACCTACAGTCCACTGACAAGTCCTTGAAACAGGCAAAGTGACCTTTCTCTAGGGACTCAACTGCCCCGATGTTGACACTTTGCTAAGGGCAAAAGGCAATCTTAGGTCCAACCCCCAGGATCCTGTAAGTCTACTTTAACATATAAAAATTCCTTTGGAAACTTCCTTTATCTCTAAACCCAAGATACATGTTGGCAATCATCTCCCAAGCATATGGCCCACCGATCTACATCTGAAGGGTCTCATGACTAGGGTTTTATTAGATGGTAATAAATGACCTCTTCCCAACAATAGCTAGCCCCTCAAGGTCCTGGAAACCTTGCTTCCAAATTCCTTAGGGACTCACACTATCAGGAACAAGACAAGGAGGCCCATGTCCACCACTGCCATTCAAGATTGTCCCGGATGTTCCGACCAGATCAATTAGACAAGAAACTGAAGGCATCCAAACTGGAAAGGAAGAAAAACTATATTCACACGTGACATGATCCTATATATGGAAAAAATTCTTAAGAATCCAAGAGAAAGTTACCAGACCTGATAAATGAATTCAGCGGGGGCACCTGGGTGGCTCAGTTGGTTAAGCGTCTGCCTTTGGCTCAGGTCATGATCTCAGGGTCCTGGGATCAAGCCCCACATCGGGCTCCTTACTCAGCAGGGACCCCTGCTTGTGCTCTCCCTCTCTCTGTCAAATAAATAAATAAAATCTTAAAAAAAAATGAATTCAGTGAAGTTGCAGGGCATAATATCAGTACACAAAAATCAATATACCAGGAATGAACAATCAGGAAAGGAAATTGAGAGCAATCCAGGGGCGCCTGGGTGGCTCAGTCGTTAAGCATCTGCCTCTGGCTCAGGTCATGATCCCAGGGTCCTGGGATCGAGTCCCACATTGGACTCCCTGCTCCGCGGGAATTCTGCTTCGCCCTCTCCCACTGTCTCTCTCTCGGTCAAATAAATAAAATCATTAAAAAAAAAAAAGCAATTCCACCTACAGATGCTTCTCAAAACAAACACGCTAGTAATAACTTTAACCAAGGTACAAGGCTAGTACACTGAAAAGTAAAAATAATGCTAAAGGAAATTAAAGAAGACACAACTAAATGGCAAGATATCCTTGGACTGGAAGACCCAATATAGTTAGGACCCTGGAATCATGAGCCAAAGACAGATGCTTAACTGAGCCACCCAGGTGCCCCTGTGGGGATAATTTCTTAGTGTATAAAAATAGTAAATTACTATGATGTACACCTGAAATTAATGCTACACTGTAACTCAAGTGTACTTCAATTAAAAAAAAAAGATACTCATCCAGTTTTGTAAAAAGCTAAAACTATAACATGCTCAGAAGAAACATGAGAGTAAACTTCCATGATCGTGGGTTTGGCAACGGGTTCTTAGCTGTGACAGGAGAAAGTAAGAACAAACAGACAGAATGGACTTCTTCAAAATTAAGTTTTTGTTCATCAGAGAACATTATTAAGAAAATGAAGACAACCTATGGAATGGGAGAAAATATGTGTAAATCATAGATCTGATGAGGGATTATAACCTAGAATACATAAAGGAATCCACCAACTAAACAATGAACCAACAACCCAATTCAAAATCAGGGAAAATCTTGGAGCGCCTGGGTGGCTCAGTCATTAAGCGTCTGCCTTCAGCTCAGGTCATGGTCCCAGGGTCCTGGGATCGAGCCCCACATCGGGCTCCCCACTCAGCCAGGAGCCTGCTTCTCCCTCTCCCACTCCCCCTGCTTGTGCTCCCTCTCTCGCTGTGTCTCTGTCAAATAAATAAAATCTTTTAAAACAAAAAACAGGGCAAGTCTCCAACAGACTTTTCTCCAACAAAGATATACAAATAGCCAATGAGCACATGGGAAGATGTTCATCACTGGTCATTAGGGAAATGCAGATCAATACAATGATGAGAATACCTCACACATATAGTAAATTTTTAAAAAGGAAATAAATATTCATCAGAATGTAAAGAAGTTGAAAGCTTCGTGTATTGCCGGTGGGAACGTAAAATGATGCGGCTGCTGCGGAAAACCTAGCGTAGTTACCACTGACCCACCGATTCCACTCCTAGGTACACTCACAATACGATTATAAACACATACTGCGCTCCACAGTTGCTTGTAAGCCACTGGTCACTGCAGCGCTAGTCACGGGAGCCAAAATGTGGAGACAATCCAAAGAGGGAGGGACAGACAAGGTGCAGTATGGCCACATGATGGACTATAATCCGCTCATAAAAAGGAAGGGAATCCTGACACCTGCTCCAACGTGGATGAACCTTGAAAACATTATGCTCAGTGAACTAAGCAAGGCCAAAAGAACAAATACGGTATGACTTCACTTCTATGAGGTACCTGGAGTCCTCAACTTACAGCGACAGAAGGTGTAGTAGAGGTTACCAAGGGAGGAGAGGGGAAGGGAACTCGAAGAATGGGAAGTTATTATTGAAAGGGTACAGAGTTTCTGTTGGGAGCCGTGAAGAAGTTTCAGAAATAGAAGGGTGATGGTTGCACAATATTGTGAATGTAATCAATGTTACTCAATGTACACTTTAAAATGACAGCATTTTAGGGGCGCCTGGGTGGCTCAGTTGTTAAGCATCTGTCTTCGGCTCAGGTCATGATCCCAGGGTCCTGGGATCAAGCCCCAAATCGGGCTCTCTGGGCAGTGAGAAGCCTGCTTCTCCCTCTCCCTCTGCCTGCCGCTCTGCCTACTTGTGCTCTCTCTGTCAAATAGATAAAATCTTCAAAAATAAATAAATAAAATGACAGCATATTTCCCTTATGTATATTTTACCACAGTTTATTTAAAAAATGAGAGGATAATGGGGCGCCTGGTGGCTCAGTTAGTTAAGAGTCTGACTCTTGATTTTGGCTCAGGTCGTGATCTCAGGGTCCTGGGATCTAGCCCTGCACTCATCCTGGAGTTGGCTTAGGATTCTCCCTCCCTTGGCACCCCCCCACCAATAAATAAATTCTTTAAAAAAAGAGATAGAGAGAGAGGATAAAAGCATACTGAAGTTTGCTCCCTGGTTCCTCTACCTTCTCCCAGCCTCCAGATCCTTATCCCACACACCTGTCCAACTTTGCTCTTATGAGCACTTACACTCCTGTTCAAAACAAACAAAAAACCACCCCCCCCCCACGCCCTACTTTGCCCTTCCCTTCTAAACACCGCTCTAGCCTGTATCACATCCACAGAGTGGGTAGCAGAGTCCTCGCCCTGAATTCCAACCCAGGTTCAGATATTTGTATCCTTTACGGAACTACCATCGTCAGCTGGCTGCCCCTGGTCACCCAGTACCCACGCTGTGTCACAGGACACAGTCCTTGTCTTCAAGACGTCGGGGACATCCACGGAAAAGAAGGCGGCATGGCCCAGCGTTTCCGGGAGGTCCGTCACCTGGACGCCACCTTCCCACCCTAACATCCAGCTCTCGCAGCCTTTCAGCGCAATCGTCTACTGCAGAACGAAACCTTTATCGTTGCTGTGAATTCAGGGAACCAGCGCTCGCCAGGAGCATCACAGATAAGCGGTCGCGCATCAGGAAGACGGAGCAGCTCCGGCTCCAGCTCCGCGGCTGCCCGCCCGGCGGCCGGTCAACAGGGGCCGCGGAGAGGGGACAGCCGCAGGCCCACCCAGCGGCGCCCACTGTCCCCACGGGTCCTCCCCACGGCCGCCCAGGTGTCCTCGCACAGCCCTCCTCCTTCCTCAGCGAAGCGGCGGCCCCGCGCAGTCGGGCGCGTAGGGCAGCGTCCAGCTCCCGTTTGCTGGGGCCTCCCGTCCGACCAGCCACTTCCCCCGCCGGGCGACACCACGCGCCACGTGCAGAGCGCCGGCCCCCCCGCCCACCGCAGCCCACCGGCACCCGCCGCCGCAACGCCGGCGCGGCTCTATGACGCCAGGCCACGCCCACGCGACGGGGCGGGCCTTCTCCGGGGGCGGGGCTGCGTGCTGACGCCACACGCCGGGGCGGGGTCAAGAGTTTGGTGCCCCGGAGTGGGGTGTCGGCGCCTCTTTCGGGTGGAGCTGAGCCGGGGACAGGTAAGTGCGCGCTGCCGCCGGGCCTGGCCCGGTGCGGGAAGGCCCGAGCCCTCGGGCAGGAGGCGGGGGTTGCGGCAGAGGGCGAGGGCGCCGCGTCCTCGTTGTCGCTGGCGCCGCGGTGACAGGGAGTGAAGCCGGATGGAGCAGGGCTGACGGAGGGAGGTGGGCGGGACGGGGCCTGACGAACGGGCGTGACAGCCAATGGCGCGGCGAGCGCCGCCTGACGGGCGGAGATTGGCGGGTGCGGGCGCGCGCGCGCGACGCGGGGGGTGCCCAGCGGCGCGCCATTGGCTGTGGCGGGCGTGGGGCGGGCCGCCGGGCGGATGTGAGGGAACGGGCGCCGCGGCCCGGGTGACCCCCAAGGTCGAGGAGGCGTCACGAGGGCGCCGCCCGACGCTGTCCTGAGCCGGGTCGGAAGGGCGGCGCGCTCTTGTTGGAGCGGCTGCGGACTGTGGGCCGTAGGCCGTGCTGCACCGCGCCTGTCCTGGCTGCACGCCTGGGGAGACGCCCTTGCGCGGACCACCCGCAGCACCCCGTGGACTCAGTACCCCGCCTTGCCCATCCTTCTCCTTGTGCTCCCGGGGGGACGCCCTTCGGCGGACCACCCCCAGCACCCCGTGGACTCAGTACCCCGCTTGCCCATCCTTCTTGTGCTCCCGGGGGGACGCCCTTCAGCAGACCACCCCCAGCACCCTCCGGACTCAGTACCCCGCCTTGCCCATCCTTCTCCTTGTGCTCCCTGGGGGGACGCCCTTCGGCGGACCACCCGCAGCACCCCGTGGACTCAGTACCCCGCCTTGCCCATCCTTCTCCTTGTGCTCCCGGGGGGACGCCCTTCGGCGGACCACACCCAGCACCCCGTGGACTCAGTACCCCGCTTGCCCATCCTTCTCCTTGTGCTCCCGGGGGGACGCCCTTCGGCAGACCACACCCAGCACCCTCCGGACTCAGTACCCCGCCTTGCCCATCCTTCTCCTTGTGCTCCCCGGGAGGACGCCCTTCGGCGGACCACCCACAGCACCCCGTGGACTCAGTACCCCTCCGGACTCAGTACCCCGCCTTGCCCATCCTTCTCCCTGCACTCCTTGGGGGGGACGCCCTTCGGCGGACCACCCCCAGCACTCCGTGGACTCAGTATCCCCTCCAGACTCAGTACCCCGCCTTGCCCATCCTTCTCCCTGCGCTCCTGGGCGGGACGCCCTTCAGCAGACTACCCCCAGCACCCCGTGGACTCAGTACCTCTCTGGACTGAGCACCCCGCCTTAGCCATCCTTCTCCCTGCGCTCCTGGGGAGACGCCCTTGTGCGGACCACCCGCAGCACCCCGTGGACTCAGTACCCCTCCGGACTCAGTACCCCGCCTTGCCCATCCTTCTCCCTGCGGTCCTGGGGGGGACGCCCTTCGGCGGACCACCCCCAGCACTCCGTGGACTCAGTACCCCTCCAGACTTAGTACCCCGCCTTGCCCATCCTTCTCCGTGCGCTCCTGGGCGGGACGCCCTTCAGCAGACCACCCCCAGCACCCCGTGGACTCAGTACCTCTCTGGACTGAGCACCCCGCCTTAGCCATCCTTCTCCCTGCGCTCCTGGGGGGGACGCCCTTCGGCGGACCACCCCCAGCACTCCGTGGACTCAGTACCCCGCTTGCCCATCCTTCTCCTTATGCTCCCGGGGGGACGCCCTTCGGCGGACCACCCCCAGCACCCCGTGGACTCAGTACCCCGCCTTGCCCATCCTTCTCCCTGCTCACCTGGGGGGGACGCCCTTCGGCGGACCACCTCCAGCACTCCGTGGACTCAGTACCCCGCTTGCCCATCCTTCTCCTTGTGCTCCCCGGGGGACGCCCTTCGGCGGACCATCCCCAGCACCCCGTGGACTCAGTACCCCTCCGGACTCAGTACCCCGCCTTGCCCATCCTTCTCCCTGCTCACCTGGGGGGGACGCCCTTCGGCGGACCACCTCCAGCACTCCATGGACTCAGTACCCCGCTTGCCCATCCTTCTCCTTGTGCTCCCGGGGGGACGCCCTTCAGCGGACCATCCCCAGCACCCCGTGGACTCAGTACCCCTCCGGACTCAGTACCCCGCCTTGCCCATCCTTCTCCTTGTGCTCCCGGAGGGACGCCCTTCGGCGGACCACCCCCAGCACCCCGTGGACTCAGTACCCCTCCGGACTCAGTACCCCGCCTTGCCCATCCTTCTCCCTGTGCTCCTGGGGGGGACGCCCTTCGGCGGACCACCCCCAGCACCCCGTGGACTCAGTACCCCTCCGGACTCAGTACCCCGCCTTGCCCATCCTTCTCTCTGCTCACCTGGGGGGGACACCCTTCGGTGGACCACTCCAGCACTCCGTGGACTCAGTACCCCGCTTGCCCATCCTCTCCTTGTGCTCCCAGGGGGACGCCCTTCGGCGGACCACCCCCAGCACCCCGTGGACTCAGTACCCCGCCTTGCCCATCCTTCTCCTTGTGCTCCCGGAGGGACGCCCTTCGGCGGACCACCCCCAGCACCCCGTGGACTCAGTACCCCTCCGGACTCAGTACCCCGCCTTGCCCATCCTTCTCCCTGCGCTCCTGGGGGGACGCCCTTCAGCAGACCACCCCCAGCACCCCGTGGACTCAGTACCCCCTCCGGACTCAGTACCCCGCCTTGCCCATCTTTCTCTTTGTGCTCCCGGGGGGACGCCCTTCAGCAGACCACCCCCAGCACCCCGTGGACTCAGTACCTCTCTGGACTGAGCACTCTGCCTTAGCCATCCTTCTCCCTGCGGTCCTGGGGGGGACGCCCTTCGGCGGACCACCCCCAGCACTCCGTGGACTCAGTACCCCCTCCGGACTCAGTACCCCGCCTTGCCCATTCTTCTCTTTGTGCTCCTGGGGGGGCACCCTTGAGCAGACCACCCCCAGCACCCCGTGGACTCAGTACCCCTCTGGACTGAGCACCCCGCTTTAGCCATCCTTCTCCCTGCGCTTCTGGGGGGACGCCCTTCAGCGGACCACCCCCAGCACCCTGTGGACTCAGTACTCCTCCAGACTCATTACCCCGCATACCCATCCTTCTCCTTGCACTCCTGGGGAGATTGCGGACCACCCACAACACCCCATGGACTCAGTACTCCTCTGGACTGAGTATCTCGCCTTACCTATTTTCCTTGTGCTTCTGGGGGGACGCCCTTGAGTGTATTTAATCTCCACAGCACCCTGTGCACTCAGTACTCCTGCAGGCTCAGTACCCTGCCTTACCCATCCTTCTTCCTGCTCTCCTGGGGCAATGTCCTCGAGCATATTTAACCTCCGCAGCACCCCGTGTACTCAGTGCCCCACCATACTCAGTACTCTGCCGTACGCATCCCTCTTCTGTGCTCCAGGGCTGAAGCCCTTGAGTAACCACCCCTGCAGCATCTCCTGTACTCAGTACCCCCCCATACCCATCCTCCCTGTTTTCTTGGGGTGACATCCTTGAGCGTATTTAACCTCCGGAGCACTCTGTGTACTTAGTACCCCGCCATACTCAACACCCCGCCATACCCATCATTCTTCCTATTCTCTTGGGGTGACACCCTTGAGCATATTTAACCTCCATGTCACCCTGTGGACTCAGTACCTCTCTGGACTCCCCACCCCACCTTACCCATCCTTCTCCCTGAGCTCCTGGGGTCACTACTCTGTACTCAATACTCTGCCATACAGAACCTCACATACCCATCCTTGCTGTGCTCCTGGGGTGACATGCTTGAACAGACCACCCCACAGCACTCTATGTACTCAGTACTCCTCCATCCTTAGTACCACTCCAACCCCATAACTTTGGGCACTCCTGGGGAGAGGCCCTCGAGCATATTTAACCTCCACATCACGCCGTGTACTCAGTACCCCTCCGGACTCAGCACCCTGCCTTACCCATCCTTCTCCCTGTGCCCCTGGGGAGATGCCCTTGAGCGGACCATCCCGCAGCATCCCACCGTACTCGTCCTTCCTCCAGAGGTCTGAGAGCCCGTGTAGAGATGAAGCGCATTTCTTGGAGTACCGCACCAGTCATGCATCTCTTCCACTTCACGGAGCTCCCAGAGGGAAGTGTAAGTTGTGTGCTGAGACTCAGTAGAAAAGCGGTGGTTGCACAACGGAGGAGAGATGAGTCCGAGGCCTGAGGTGAGACCTCTGTCTGGTGTTCCTCTGTGCCCTATTCTGCAGGCCTGGCCTGTGGAGCAGGGACTGGGGGCGTGCTTCCAGGCTCACTGCTCTGAGCAGCTGCAGGACAAGTGGCCTGGACTGGAGCCTTGTTTGCATAGTGGCAGGAGCTGTGACAGTCAAACTGCAGCGTTTTCCTGCGGACACGTTTCATATGAAAATATGCAGTACTCTTCTAGCTTTGCAAAGGAGCCGAGGACTGGTTCTTGGAAAGTTGGAGAAAGATCGGAGTTTGCTGATGATTGAGAGCACTTTCCACGTTCCAGTTTTTTTTCCTTTGCAACACTTTGGAGATACAGTTCATGAGCTGTACCATTCACTCACTTAAAATACACGATTAAATGATTTGTCATTTATTCACAGTTATGCAACCATCACCGCAGTTCGGTTACTTTTAAAAACTAATTTCAGAAGCATGAATTTCTGGGGTTTCATTTAAATTTGCACAGTTTATTAAATATCCATCATGTTTATTGTATGTCTATCACACCTACACATGTGTGTACTTATGTGCATATCAGATCTACTTTTAACTGATCTCACTCCCCACTGCCCCATTTGAAGAAAATACTATACTATCTACCTTTTAAATTTTTAGATAGTTTTTTTAAATTTTGGGATAATTGCAGTTGAGATTTATTTTGATAATTGTACATATAAATTTGTTATATGCAGTTACAACAAATAGTATGAGAGATTCCAGTGTCCCTTTGCCTAGTTTCCTCAAATGATAACATTTTGCAGAAACTAGAGTATGATATCACACCCAGGTACTGACATTGATAACAGCCAAGATACAGAATATTTCCCTCATC